AGGTGTTCTATCCGTCCAACTCGTTGCATCGCGCCGAGATTCACAGTCGGATACCGATCTTCTACTGTGAATACAGCCAGAAGCGCGGACCTTCAATGTAAGCAACTGAACCCTTTTGACGATTTCTCGGCACTAAAATCAGCCATCTTTTAGGGCTCAAACACTGCGAAGTGTCGATCGACAGCGAAATGTGGATGTTTATCCAAAAGTGGATTTCCCAGAGATTTACGTCGTCGATAAAGGCTACCGCAACTTTTTCGAGACATTCGCCGATTCAACGCCGGACAAGGTTGGCCAATGCCTTCCATTTTCGGTTCGTTCAAAGCGATTTTATGAGCACATAAAATGTTGCAATGGCTAACCGTGACGACCTTGGGAACCCGCACGAGCGGGGGGTCACCGCTCTCGTCGTCGTCAGCGCTCTTCTGAAGCCATTCAGCTTTCAGCATTTATTCGAACCATGCAATTATGTGGAGATGGTCGATGGTCGTTTCGCTCATCACCTGAGGCAATACAATTTCCACAAGAAAAGCTGGGGAAACAGCACTTGCTCGAAGAATGCACCGTAAGTTTTTTTGACAGTGACAATAAGTAGTGCCAAAGTTTGATTCACTTGATTTTATTATTGATTTTGAAAATGGTATCATCTTTCCTCGTTATATCTTGTGTGATTCATTGATTTTTTAAAGGCCGTTTCCGGCCTGGCTAAATTTTTCTAATAATGTTTCTTGAACGGCTTAGTTCCGTTCAGTGTATTATGGACGTTTGGGAAGAAGATTATAGTTCAACATTAATCTCTTAGCACTTCAAAAGAGGGAAACATTGCCAAACCGAGGGTTGGTAGTTTTATAGCGTATTGCAGAAGTCGTGTAAAGGCTACGGTACTGAGAGGGTAGTGTATATCAGCCGTTTCCTCTCAACTCAAAAAAAAGCCATTGCTAAGAAGCCCCTTAGTTGGACTGTAGCCCATGTTGAGACAGTGATTGTCATAGACGGTGTTTGTGTCCTAGTTAACCTCGGGTATCATCCAGTAAAGGGGACATGCGGTGCCACAGTTGCTGCTACCCACAGAATTTCCAACTTTTGGAAATCCCCGGGCTGCCTGAACTGAAGCGCTTTTGCTTCTACACTCACATTGCTCACGCCATTAGGGATGATTGTAACCTAATGGTGTAAGCAGGAACTTAGCAAAGCTAGTACCCTCTTTGCGTTCACATGGTAGCTCATTCCCATTACATACTGTGATTTGGACCTGGGAATATCACCTCATGAGCATGGGCCCAACCTTAAACGAATTACTGTCAGTTACTTCCTGTACCTCAAAGAATACCAAACGCGATTCCGTCCATGTCGATCCTCACACTGGCGCACCGTTTCAAACCGACACCCTCTCCGAACCAGCTGGTCGTAGCGTATAGCGCTGATGGGTCCTCAGCATGACCCCAGCAATATGCCCTGGATTTTGGTGGATTTCCTTCAGCATCCATCAAATAGAGCACCGTCATTGCATCCCCCCCACCTTCCGGGATGCGCCGTGCGGTCGTTTTTTGTTCATAACATTCGTGGCGTTTGAATGATCACTTTGCCTAGGTGCTGAATAGCTGAAGAACTTTTCTTGCTCACTTATCAGGCGAGCCTGGAACCAAATAAATGACCCCGTCAAGAGAAGGTTCATTGAACTGGGCGAGGTTCGCCGAGATTTGATCTACGGATCACGTATCTCCCATTTGCGACTGCCTGTTCGTGAGAACAATAAAGGGTTAGGAAGAAAAGGTTCAATAAGGGTTAGGGATTCATAATAAAATTTAACGTCCTACGTCCAAAAGGCTAGACTAATTTTATCGCTCAATATCTATCTTTATTTTTTTAACTAATATTTTACTCGTGGTTGACGTCACTTCTGTTGAACTATTTCGCCAGCTCTGTAGGCTGATGATTTTAATCCCCGCTTTTTCAGTCCTCAATCACGTATGGGTCTGCGACAGCTCTCCGAAGGGGCCTTGGATTCGCCGTCGAATCCCGGTCCATCGCGACCGTCCAGACGTCCGTTGTTCGCCCCTGCCCCAAAGACGCCGGAACCGTTGCCGTTGGCGCCCGTGAGGCAGTTGCAGTTCTCCTGACAATCGCCTAAAAACGGCGTCGTCCGTTCGCAATACACCCTGTGATCTCATTTTGTTAGGACCTGCTTGTGTGTGTATTGTTGTATTTGAATATCAATTGGAGAGGATTTCTATCGCACGTAATAATTATTAATATTGCTTGTACATAGTAAGAACTTATTTATTGATTGTAAAACTTTTCGCGATTTTTGCGCTACCATAGCTGCGTTTGGAGTAAGCCACGCACCCGTTTCAGTCTATTCCTTTTCGCATACCTCAGCTCAGTACTGGTGCGAATCATAGCTACAGCGAGCCTATCGAGCTATGGCTTTTGTGTCAAACACTTAGGACTTTCAATTAGTTTACCTGTGCGGGTCCATTATGCCACTGAGTGTGTGCTTCGTTTATCGCTATTCTGATATGTGCGCTGATCAGTAATCACTAGGAATTCCTCTCAAACCGCATGCGCGCGGTCTTCTTGGCTTGTTTATTTGCTTGTAGTTTATAGATTTTTTGTGTATATTTTGTTTAGGCTGTTTTTATGTGTATATCCGATTATCTCCTCTCGGACACGACATCGTCTAATGTACAATAAATGTGTCTTGAGTTGTGGCTACGGCCAAGTGCCCGTCGGCCGTTCATGGCCACGGCTCAGGGTAGACGGCAGAGTTCGGGGTCTACGGAATATTTTCGTATATGTCCCACGTCTTGGACGTTATGTAGTATTCTATTCGATTATAGTAATATATATTGAATAGTATATTGACTGAATGGGAGATAAATTAATAAAAATTTTTCTGAAATTTTATCGCTTCTCCCTGTCTCTCACACTCCCCAGGCAGGATCAACCGTAACGGTGGAGGGAATTTCGCAGCACGACGACACCCACATCACACCGAGGAGAGTTCCGGGACAATCCTCCATCACCACTATCAAACCTAGACAGGTTTTCCATTTCGGAAGAAAGCCCTTCGAAAACAACTCCCTCTACTCTTCGACTTCTCAGCCATTGCCTAAACCCTCTCTTAATCTCAAATACGACCCCTTTTCACAATGACACTATGCAGAACGAAAAGTGCAACTCCCCTTTCGCGCACCGATACGATCCCCCTGTTGGTAACTAGTGGAGACTTGAGTTGCACCAGTGCATTATTCGCAGACTGCCTGCGATTCGAAGCTTTTCTTTCGCAAAAACTTAAATCTTATATTTTAATTCATTAATAGAGCGCCTTGGCTCCGGAGATATATACCATTTCCACTTGAAAATGGACATCGTTCAAATCAAAGTTGCTCTTTTTCAAAAAATCGTGGACATTTTTCAATTCGACCCGGAGATTTTTCAAATAGCTCAGGACGAATTTTCAATTTCGACCTCGCTTTTTTTCAAATGACCGTGGACTTTGTTCAATTTAAAATGGATCCTTTTGATATCAAGCTGGACACCCCCTCACAGGTAAAGCATGGCCTCCTTCATCCCCAAACGTAAATCCTTCTCATTCATCAGAACATAGTTCTCGAGGAACAGAATACTTCTCTCAGCCAACAAAATAAGTATATTTTCGAGTAGTTCGAGATACACTTCAAACACAAAGAACGCAAACCAAGCCGTTCAGTTCTCAAAGGGTTGTTTAGTTGCCAAGGTAGTTAACACATTCACGACGACCCCCTTTTCCACTTTTCGGTCGCGTGGGACGGACGCGATTGTAAATGAACAAAAACATGAATGTCACAAAATAATTTCTGCAATGTCCAATGCGTAAAGATTATCTAAACATATAACAGTAGGATTTCGATCAGAACGACAAATAGTGGTTACGAAAAGAGAGCATTTATTCACTTTCCCCGTGAAGGAATTTAAAAGCATTTTACACTCGATTACGAGGTTTGCCCACCTATCTGTCCATTCCTAGCGCCTGGCAAGCGATTATCAGTTGGCAGCCCATATGGGCTGCCATCGTCCCAGGAGCGCATGTTGTTGGCAGCCCATATGGGCGGCCATCGGCGTGAATGTGTTAAATTTACCATCACAATGATGACGTGGCTCACTCAATTCTGCTTCCGTCATCTATACTTTACGCCTTGCACTTTCTACACTTTCTTTCTTCTTCTTTCTTTCTCTCCTTCATGTCACAGACACGGAGCGGAAGCGATACAAGAAAATCGTATTTAAAAGCCGCTTACTCCAGTCAGTCAAATTTCTGCTCTTTTCCGCTTTCTCTCACCGAGAGAGCTGGTCTGTATCCATTGACTTCGCACGCCTACCTCCTTACTACGTTTGGCGTTTTCGTTTGCCAGTGTATGCGTAGTGATTGGAGACAGAAAACATGGCGGAAAGTACAAGAAGTCGTATAGCAAAGGTAGTGAAAGAGTCGGGAAGGTGATCGCCTAAAAATGGTTTGCTG